TATATATATATAGTGTCATTTCGACCTTTTAAAGTTTTGTAAATAAAATTGCGATTATCAAATAAATTAGTGGGCTAAATTGCTAAACCCATATCATTGAAAATATTAATAGGCTTAAAACTTGATTAATCAGCCCATAGCAAATTAAGCAATCACATCCATTACTAACGGTAACGGCTAGTTTCATAATGTCGCCGCCGGCTAACCACGCTGACAACCCTCTCTCCAACGGTCACATTTTGTAAAGAACCGTTATTAGAGCCCTAAATTCTGAATTGCCATAATTATGTGCTTAAATTCTTTCGTCCTCCCTTCTCCCAACCCAAATCTATCACCATTTTCACTGTAAATCATTTTCCGGCAGCCCTAACACTTTTCCGGTGATCATCGAAAGAACTGTCAAAAGTGCAATGGAGACTCCATCTTCATCATCAAGAACAATCACAAGATCACAAGCGTTGGGTATGGCTCCAAACAACAGTAGTTTAAAAGAAAAATTCGTGGTTTTCAGCACATGATCTTAATGGTTAGCTTTTGATGTTTTTTCAGGGAAAAGTGAAGAATCTGAGAAGGTTGTTTTGAAATCAAGATCAGCTATGATTGATATAACAAATGATTCACCAATTGTCGGGCTTGCGATTGGTAGTTTGAAAACACCATCATCGATATTTTCTAAAAAAAGAGCGTTTATTCAAAACAGCGAACTGATCAAACAACCCAATACTCCTGGGTCTGGTGAGGCTTTGTTGAGAGGTCAAGTGAAGACCCTTTTACAAAAAGTCGAAGAAGAAGCTGTTTTTTCAAAGATTTCATTCGAACCCAGAAATTTGATTCGTGAAGAAGAAGGTTTTGTGAATTCCCCAATCTATCTTATTGCTCCCACACCTGCAAATACACCTCAAGTTTCTGAATTCTGTGAGAATAATAACGGCATTGTATCTCCCATTGTTGCAGAAAGCAATAGTTTTTCACAGGTTTTGATCCGATTCCTAAATGGAGTTTCTTAGTTTTCTTTATTTTGAAATGGGATTTTGTTAATTTGTTGATTTCATTCGTGTAGATTCTTGGCCAACAAGAAGAAAATGATGAAACTTTGGAAACGAATTTGATATCAAAGTTGTTTACGGATTTCCCAGAAAAATTAGAGGATTGTGATTCATCTGTGGACAATGAAGATGATGCATCGGTTTGGTCAGTTCAAGTGAATGTGAGCACAAGTGATGATGAATTGGAAGAAAATCACGAGGATGAGCTTTATGAAGTGTTGAGCAAGATTCGTGTGGATGATGTTGGTGTTAGGTTTACTGGAAAACACCAAAGATTTGTTTATGATGGTGATAGTGAGCTCGGAGGGGAAGAAGTTGTTTGAATTTGTGTTATGTTGAAAGCGGAAATATTGGGTTTCCCAAGTGATGGATATTATGTTGATGATAATTTGAAATTGTTTGCAATCGGTCTCATGTTGGACTTCCATAAATATGCTAAGAAAAAACCAAAACATTAACATATACCTAAAGAGCAATTTAATATCCTCTTATATTTATTTTCTACTTATCTTTCTACCTATTATCTTTCTACCTATGTTAAATGGTGACATGTGTCATATTTAATAAAAATAAGATAATTTTCTGTTTTTGTAAGAGAAACCCTAGTTGGCAGCAATTTGAAGGAAATCATTGACGTTGACCACCAAGTTTAGAACCACACCACACCGATTTAACACACTTTCTCTGATTACACGAGGAAAAGGACAGCCAATGAAGATGTGGTCTGCACATTCAATGTTCCATCCGCATAGACCGCAATATGTAGAATTAACTTGAACACCCCGATTTGAAAGCACATCAACAAAAGGATTCTTCCCATGACAGCACGCCAGACGAAACACACGACTTTAGTCGAAACTTCTTTAAGCCACGAGATTCTAGGACCAATCGTATTCATCATCTTGCCATCAATTTTGGATCTCAACGCCTCCACCATGCACCTACCATCAGAATTTAGATTGCTGCTCCAACTGTCACTTCCAGAGCTAATGGAGTGGTTACGAAATTCACCAATTAACTGGTCCAAATTGTTCGATATAGCAAGAGTTCTTAGGTTTTGTTTCTAAGTGAAGCCACTTGTGATGATCCTGTCGGCGACACTACATCTTTTTTCCCCTCAATCATGTATAGAGACAGGTAAGACAGTCTTAATATTTTATTACCCAACCATCTCTCATGCCAGAAAGAAGTTTTGTCCCTTGAATGAGTTGTTAATTTCAAAATATCTTCAAAATCCAGTCCATCTTTTTGTAAGTCATTTTTGATGTTTGCGATATTATTCCAGATTCCAATCATAGTCTTCTTGGAAAGATGAGTCGTTGGTTCTCCCGATAAGCAATGTATTCCCGTGATTACTTTACACCATAACGACTGTGGGTCCTAGTCCACCTTTGCCTTTTTGAGTGATCACCTTATCTCACGAGACCTAATGTATTTTGTTTTTAACATTGGTGCCTCCGCACAAGAATTTTCGATGAATTTTTTCTAAGCTCTCTAGTACACCCGAAGGAGCTTTGAAGAGAGATATATAATAAGTAGGGAGATTTCCGATGACTGATTAGATAAGAGTTAATTTCCCACCAAACGAGAGGGTCTTCGATTTCCATAAGGAGAGTTTGGATTGGAACCTATCGATGACGGGTTTCCAGTTGTTAATTAGGTCCATGTTGGCCCTGACAGGAACACCAAGGTATAAAAAAGGTAGAGAACATGCTTCACATATGAGTAATGTGACAACCGTCAAATAAAAAGTCAAAATCATCAAGTCAACAAGTCAAACCGGTCAAACTTAATTACTACGTGTATGCTAAAAGTTATTCTATGTATAAACATGTGCATTTGTATGTCAAGAATTCAAGTGTCTTGAAGAATCTAAGTGTTAGCAATGTAAAAACCCTAAAAAGGGAGTTAAACGCATCAAAGCACGACTAAGGACCCTTTCGGGGACTTAAAACAATCATAAACGAAACATAACGAGGTTCATGAACCTTGCAATTGCGAGATTATGCGATAATAATGGCTAAGATTAAATCTCTCCATGTATGTGAAATCTCTCCCAAATCTCTCCAAGTATGTGAAATCTCTCCCAAATCTCTCC